GGGGAGGGAGGAGGGAGAGGGAGGAGAGGAGGAGGAGGAGGAGGAGGAGGAGGAGGAGGAGGAGGAGGAGGAGGAGGAGGAGGAAGAAGAAGAGGAAGAAGAAGAATAATAATAATAATAATAATAAGAAGACGAAGAAGAAGAAGAAGAAGAAGAATAAGAAGAAGAAGAAGAATAATAAGAAGAATAATAAGAAGAAGACGAAGAAGAATAAGAAGAAGAATAATAATAATAAGAAGAAGAAGAAGAGGAGGAGGAGGAGGAGGGGGAGGAGGAGGAGGAGGGAGGAGGAGGGAGGAGGAGAGGGACGAGGAGGAGGGGGGAGGGAGGAGGAGGAGGCGTCTCGGTGGGCGTTTCGGCGAATCGGGGTGGGAGCTCGGCGAATGGGCACACGCGGCGAGATCCGGACCCCAGGCCCGCCTCCCATCGGCTCAGGAGAACCGCTGCTCGGCAGGGGTGGGGCTCGGCTGTCGCCACCCCTCCCCTCCCCCGCCCCCCGCTCCGCGCACCGCCGAGCCGGCAGAGGGGCGCCCGGCCGTTTCCCGGCCCCCCTCCGCCCTTCCGCCGGATGCTGGCGGCGGCGGCGGCGCGGGTGCTCGCGCGGGCACTGGCGACGCGCGGGGGCCGCGCCGCACCGCAAGGAGCGGGGGGTCAGATCAGAGCGGGCCGCGGTGGGGTTTCCTCTTCCACCGAGGTGCTGCTCTCGAGGCATGCACGAACTCTTTTTTTTTTTTTTGTTTCTCTCTCTCTCTCTCTCTTCCTCTCCCTGCCCATCGCTCTCTTCCTGGGGGCCAGGGGCGAGGTCCCCGGGGCGTAGACCACAACTCCCCATGGCCACGCCAGGGGTGGGGCGTGGGCCTCAGACAGCCCCAGGTTTTGCTCCAGATGACCCCAAGGTTGCTTCAAGATCGCCCCAGTTGGGCCAATGTGGTCTCCAATAGCTCCCTGCGCCAGAGCAGCCCAAGGGGGCCTCAAGTCGGCCCAAGAGGCCACCATGGCATGATGGCCCAAGAGGGTCCCAAGAGAAACCTCAGGAGAGCCTCAAGAGGCTTTGCAGTCTTTTCGCATGGTCGTTGTTTCGGGCTTCCGACACTCCACGATGGTCCCAAAGGCTCCCCGGTCGGTTCAAAGAAGCAGCCGGCAGGCAGGGCTAGGCCAGTTTTCTCTCCACGGCTGCTGGTCAGGCATCCTCGCAGCGGCTTGCTGGGCCTGGCACCGTGTCTGGGAAGCGTTTTCTGATTCGTCCCTCCAAGACGGCCCAAGAGGCCTCCCCGAATAGTTATCTTGGCGGAGGACCCAACTACTATGTATGTGCAGTTGTGAGTGCCATCGTTGTGGGTATCGCCTTGGGTGGATCTCCTCATGGCGACACGAAGCGTGTGGATGGTGAGCTGAAATGGGGCGACGCCGCCATGCGGGCTGCCACTGGGGCCTTCGGTGGAGCCTCCTATATGGGACCACGGAGCGCGTGAGGGGTGTGCCGCATCAGGTGCGAGTACGCCGTGCGGACTATACGCTGCCGGGGCTGTCAGTGGAGCCCCCTTTGGGGCCACGACGCGCGTGAGGGGTGTGCCGAATCGGGTACGGGTACGCCATGCGGACTGTGCCACCAGGTCCTGCGTCGGAGCTCCCTGTGGGGCCACGAAGCGTTGGAGGGGTGTGCCGCATCGGATGCGGGTTCGCCATGCGGAGTGTGCCACCGGGGCTCTCGGTCGAGCCTCTATATGCGGCCACGACGCGTGTGAGGGGTGTGCCGCATCGGGCACGGGTTCGCCATGCGGACTGTGCCACCGGGGCCCTCGGTGGAGCTTCCATGCCGCCACCGGAGCGTGTGGGGGGTGTGCCGACTCGGATGCGAGCGCGCCATGCGGACTGCGCCACGAGGGCCTGCGCCGGAGCTCCCTCCAGAGCCACGAGGCGCGTGAGGGGTGTGCCGCATCGGGCGCGGGGACGATGCGGACTGTGCCGCTGTTGGCCTCGGTCGCGGTGGCGCCAGGAGGAGCACCTCCAGAGAGCGTCTCGGTGGCCTCTCCGGGGCATCTTTGGAGCCTCTCTGGGGCCTCCTTTGGAAGCCTTTTCGGGGGCCGCCCTGGGGAAGTCTGGGCGGCGTCTGTAGCGATACGATCGGCGCCGCTGCCTGGTCTCGCACTCGCCCTGCTGCCGTGGTCTATAACGGTCTGGCTCGAGAGGGCGGCGCGCGCGGCTCCGCCCTCGTGCTTCGCGCCCTAGTGCTTCGGCCTCCTGCTCATGCCTTCGGCGCGCACCCGAAGCCCAGCACGGTCGGAGCGCGGCTCTCTTTGTCCCCCGGGGCCCTCCGCTGGCCCCCCGCGCGCGCCTCCCCCCGCCTCTCGTGCCCCGGCTTGCCTCGGTGCACCCCCCGCCGTTGCCCGCACGCTGCTCGCTCCCGCGCGGCCGCTGGCCAAAACATGGGGCGTGTTTGGCCTGCTGGAGGGCTTCTTGGGGACGACAGTGGCAGCAGACGGGGACGAGGCGTGGACTTGGAGTGACGCTCGTTTTGGGGGGGGACGTCTTGCATGGCCATGCAAATCAAGCACGCACTCTGCATCTCACTTTCTCTTACCGTCGTCTTCTGCTGCAGAGAGGGAAGCGCAGGCCGTGAGGTCGCTTGGGAGGCCAGAATGGGGACCCCATGGAGGGGGATATGAAGAATTGGCAGACCCCTTCCAGAATATTGAGAGGAAGAGTCCAAAGAGATCTTTGGGGGCCATTTCCGCTCCGAGGTTTTGTATGTTTGATATTGTGGTAGCACCGAAAGTCGTAAACTTTGGCTCGAACATGCGCCTTTGACGTTTTGTTCCGAAGAGTTCTGATTCCTGGCATGGGCTGTACGGTAGTTCTTTCGCGCCGCCCTCGCGGAGCGCCCCCCACGTGGTTTTGAGCAGGCGGCCGCCCATGTAAGCATAAGCAGTAGTGCCGGCATCGGAGGGTCGACGTGAGGATGGTCACTCTGTCGCGTCTCGGAGAGAGAGAGAGAGAGAGAGAGAGACAGACAGACAGACAGACAGACAGACACAGAGACAGGACTAGTATAATAGGAGGAGGAGGAGGAGGAGGAGGAGGAGGAGGAGGAGGAGGAGGAGGAGCAGCAGGGACCAGAGCGCGCAAGCCCACGCCGTATCAGCCACGCTGCCACGCACCCTCCTGCCCCAGGTTCCCTCCGCCCTGCCTTCTGCGGGCGCTCGCTCCGCGCTGCGCGGAGCGCGGCCCCTCTCTTTGGAGGTGAGCGCGCTCCGTGGGCCCGCGCTCCTGGCGGGAGAGCAGCGCTCAGAAGTAGGCCGCCCCTCGCAGCCTCCGAGCCAGAGGCGCGTGCGGCGGGGTCGGGTGCCCAGGTTTTGGAGAGAGTGTGCCGAGCGACGGTCCCGCCCTGCCAGGGAGCTGGCCTCAGCCCGTGCAGGTGTTGCGCCTTCGAGAGCATGTGGTCATGGAGCCAAGCGGAGCCACGGGCGAGAGTCCCACGCAGAGAGAAAGAGCCCCTCCTTCTGTGCGACCGTTCCACGGGCTCACACTCTTGCAGTCGGTGTTTGGAAGTTTCAGGCGGCAGCCCCATGTTGAAAACGCTCTGGTATCCATCCTGTGTCATCGCTGGATGTTTGTACGACGAACGTGCGCGGCGCTGCATCGAACACCACCGCCCCTCCGCTCGTGCAGGCCTTGGAAGCTTTTAAGACGTGTGGCAGCGCCTGGATCTCAGGTCATTCTTATGGCGATCTTGCAGCCAGACGTGATGAATCATTTTTCATCTCCTCGCTCCTCCTCCCGTCGGTCCCAGGGGGCCTGCGGGTCGCTCGGGGGCGGCGGCAAAGAGGGGGTTGATGACTAGGGGGGGGGGATATCATGGCGGGGGCCATGATTTCCCCAGATTTCATGGCGCCTCTTCTTATTTCATTACGTCCCTGGCCCCCCCGCTGGGCCGCCACATGCCGCCGGTCATGATTTGCACCCTCCCCTCTTGGACACCCCCCTCT